TGGCGTCAGATATTTTCTATTATGACGTCAAAATTTTACGGGAACTTTTGTGATGTCCAGTAATGGCGGACAAATAGCGATAAGGTGTATTGTTGATGTTCTTTTGATAAAAGGCTGTATTTACATCTATAAAATTAATGTGTCAACGAACTCTCTTTTGGACCATGGTTATATTGACTTGAATTCTTTAGTTGTCAACTTATGCTCTATTTCAAAGAAGCAGGAAATATGCTTACAATTTCATTAAAAGGCTTAATTTTTTTATTGTACAAGAGATTTGTAGGCTAAAAGCCAAAGTCAACATATTTCAGTAGTAATAGTAGCTTTAGGACTACTGAGGGAGTAGGAGTTATATTGACCCTTACATTAAGGTGTCAACTAACTCTCTTAATGACCCTGGTTATATTGACTATGCATATAATTGTCAACTAACACCCTGTGAAAAAGCACTGAAAATTACTTCACCCTTTTTAAATGTATATTAACTTTCCCCCTTTATTATCTGTAAGTTGAAATAGAAGTTAAATGAAAAGAATGGTGCAGTATATCTCTACAAAGATCATCTACATCCTAGGTGTTATATTGACTGGGTTGACAAAATTGGTCAAGTAACGGTCATATCGATGTTACCGTAAAAAGTGAACAAATGGTTTGACTTGGGTGCTTGAATGCGTTATATTCGTTAGTTCTTATCATTCTAAGCATATTATTTTGGCAAAAATTATATAAAACAGTGTCAATTTGACAGAATGGTTTGGTCGTTATACTTTGTTTGACGCACTGGTCGTTATTAGTTTGACATTTTGCTAAAAACTTACCATCGAGTTCTTCTTCCATTTTCATCCATGAATGATAGTGATGCTTACATTTAGTTTCGTATATTTAGCAATTTTGAAATGAAACAAAGTATTTTTTTCTCCCTGGATAAACTCTTTCCGTTAATAATAAGGAATAAACATTTACGTACGTTATACGTTATTTTGACATTACAAACTTGCCATTCTATGCTTCTCATAAAACGGAATACGAAACCAAAATTAGAACTATTTGAAACAGCCGAGATACGACAGCGCATGAATATGACAGGAACCAATCAAATGTTCCGCAGATGACGATATCGCGGAAAACCCCGTGCGTTATTTTTACCATAATAGTCTATTGTCAATATAACATTACTAACCCTGTCGAAATAATCGTTTCTTTGATTAATTTTACTGCATTTCACGCAAAACTTTGACGGATTTATAGTGCAACAACACTTTTCTGACGATTTAACTTACTTTCCGTTTTTCTTTTGCCCATAAAAACAACCAGGTATATTTTTTGTTAGAAGGGGGTTTCCATGTCACGCTTGGGACACAGGAACGTACAGATATACGTTTGACAAACTTCAATAACAAGACACATTGAATTAGCGGATATTTGATATTTATCAAATCTTCTACTTCATCATGTCACTGATGCTCAATAACAAGTTGTAATCAAATAACATATATTAAATATTTTAAAATTGGGATTTAAGCTTCAGATGGTTATTTGACCAATTTGGAGCACCTTTTTGGCTTTACCCATATACTTTTCACATTTTTGGTCTTTTGAAAAATGTTGTTTGTGCTGTATTTAGACCCCTCTACCAAGAAATTTGTTTTGCATGCACACGTATAAAAATTGTGGTTTTTATCCAACGCAATCATAGGTTTGAACGTTGTTTTCAATTTAGACTTGTTTATATATATATATATATATGCATAATTATCAATTATTTTTATTCTATATTAATGGGCAAAATGGTAAACACTTCCAACAATTGATCTTTTATTAAGTAATAGAACACGCTCGCGACATCGTGGGTCCATGACTGAATTAAAGTACCTAATGTCCTGTGCCTTATTTTCAGCCTGGATTTTTAGTATTTGTATTGTCATTTGATAAAGTCATGCTAATTATAAGGTGCACAGTTTTTTCTGCTTTCCAAATCTTTCTGTTTGAATGCGTCCTGGGTTTCTTACAGTTACTACAACCGAAAACTACTTGTTGATATATTTTTTTTTTGTCAATGATTGAATTTAGTAGTGTCAATCCCTGTATAATGACGAAGTTTAGGTGTGATTATGACCCATGTATATAGCAAATCCCAAATACACCGTTTGGTGGTGCGCCTGACAGAGGCGGAACGTACAGGTTAGGTAACAGGTAACAGGTACTATTGGTATCGGTATCGGATTCAACCCAGAACTTGTTAATTATTGGTAATGTTAATTATGTGGAAAACAAAAGGACCTGGAATGGTGTAATATTTAATCAACACCATTGTCCTATATTAGTTATATGTAAAGTTGAATTCCTTGATTCGTCAAGTTTTACGTCATGCCGGCTAACAAATTGGACCTCTTTATTTTAGTAGTATAGATAAATAAATGTTACAGCGTCTGTAAAACTGACTGCATTGTTTGTTTACAAATAATCATTTCTGTTTGTGTCACTGATCAGTGCTTGGGTGGTGAGTGAAGGCATAAAATTGTTGTTGGAAGTCATAAACTATCTCTATATTAATTAAAACACAAAAGAATCCAGTTACAATTGCTAATTTATCGATTAAATCCAATCAAAAACACGGTTAACCTGATCCAGATAAGATTTGACAAGTCATGCAGTTAAAATTTTACTGATAATACAATATTTTGACTGAAAATTATAGCACCAGTGCACCACGTGCCAGAAATATAGGACCACGCTTCAAAATTATAGGACCATGGGTCTGCTGTGCTTTAATGGGCCTGGGGAGAACACGATCTTTAATTGTTAATAGCACATATAAATCAATATGTAGCCTCCAGACTTACACAGACTTCAGCAGACTCGGATCAATAGTACACTAAGTGGATTATTGAAATTATGGGACTGTACGGGTTGTAGAAAGGTTGGGGGCAAAAAACTGATGAATGGTACTTAGCTAACAATTTAGTATGCCAGACTCACATTACATATACATTATAACTCACCAGTGTTACTTGAATTGAAACTGTGACCGGTAACTCTGAAGGGTTATATAATAACCAATTTGGGTTTCAATATTCCAAATGGGATAATATGAGGCAGGTGCTACCTGATTAGCTCATTAAGGTTATTGGTGCATGTTGGTTTTATTTCTCATCATGTTCTTCTGTAATCCGATGCACAATTTGGTGGGAAATCATATGCTTCTCATATACAAATTTGCCTAAATCATATGCTCCTCATATACAAATTTGCCTAAATCATATGCTCCTCATATACAAATTTGCCTAAATCATATGCTCCTCATATACAAATTTGCCTAAATCATATGCTCCTCATATACAAATTTGCCTAAATCATATGCTCCTCATATACAAATTTGCCTAAATCATATGCTCCTCATATACAAATTTGCCTAAAATCATATGCTTCTCAGATACAAATTTGCTAAAAATCCTACGCTTCTCAGATACAAATTTGCCTAAAATTTTCTTTTAGATTTTATTGTGAAGATAACAACATTATACCTCAATTGAACTATCTCAAATTTTATATTTGGTGCCAATGATCTGAATTTTCCAAAGACATATATGCATGCTCCAATGAATTTAAAGTTGTTAATTTTCATAATTTGTTTTCTGTTCAGAAGAGTCAGTTTAATACATACAATGGTACAAAAGAAGAAAAATAAACCAAGGAGACAATCAAGAGTATATATCAAAGCAAAATAATTAGATATGAATAATATGTTTAATTTTGAATGGAATTTGTTTATTTTATTTAAAATATGAATAAAAACAGATGCAGGGTAAAGAGACAGCAACCCAATGGCACAACAAAAAACTAAAAAAACTTGAGGTCAAGACAAAATTATGGTCTTAAAGAATAAAACGATGATGATTGTCTTTACAATTTCAAGAGGGGGGTTTATGGTTTTTTCCTAAAAAAATATTCTGATCCCCAATTTGATGAAAAAAAATTGTGGTCAAGCAGATGACAAAAAAAAAAGTGCGTGAAAAATTTCTGACTCAGACAAAAAACCATAACCCCCCCTTGAAGTTAAATGGTTGCTCCCTTACTTAGTCAAACTCTGAATTGCTCAGTCAAAGTCTGAAAAAAGATGTAAATGAATATAACAGAGACTGAGGTACACTTGTTATTTGTGCAAAAAGTTTGTTTTGTAATACAGCAAAATGATGTGTACAAATAACAATATCACTTTACAAGTGTCTTTCATTATTTCATGTCAACACACATTGAATTTGATAATGACCAGAGTTTTCTCCCTTGATCTGAGCCTATTTTAATATAGAGGTTTTTTAACTGTATGATTTACTTCTTATTCATTAATCAACAATTTTACAGTTTGAAATCATATTTTATTAATAAATTTATAAAAAAAAACAAAGAATTGAAGCAAATAGTAAGATAATTGAAGACTATTGAAAACTATAAAACCTAAATTTTTAATTTGTTGAAATTAGTTTGTCAATCAAGGTGACTACGTTTAGTTTGATTCGAGCGTTACTGATGAAGTTAAAAATATGTTTTGTCAACACACAAATCAGATAGATCTGTGTTAATAATAATTTAGATAAGTTATGATGTTACATGACGTGATTTTGGTTGTTTACATATGGGGATCTAGCAAATCAAGGCCTCACAAGCCATATACTTGTTTATGCAAACTCTCCCAAAACTCTTCCTCAATTACAATGCTGTATCTGTATACTGAAAAGTTTGGAAAACAGCTACTATAAAATGTATCTACATGAAATACATCTCATAAAGTCTTTAACTTAGACATGATGGGGTTGGGGATTGGAATTAATGAACACATGAATTACCAAGATAATCCTACTAATATTGACTTTTTTAGGGTAAAAAATAAAACAACTCGTCATCAAATGTAGGTAGTAATGGTAAAATTCTATAGATCATCATTTTTAGTATGCAGTGTAAATGTTATATAAGATAATACTGGAAAATGATTTTTTTTTCAGATTGAATGTTTTGATGTATGTGGTAAAAATCTATACATAGGCACAAATGATTGGTGAGTGTACCCATAAACAATACCAAGGTTTAATGACTGGAAATAAATTTTCAGACACTGCAGTAATATTTGATATGTGTTTAAACAGTCTTTGATTTATAGATGGTTAATTGTGTAATAGTATAGATTATTGTGCCATGCAGTAGGGGATCTTTTCAACTGATCATGGTAATTTTTATTTCCTTGACTGATTAAATTATCTTTTTGGATAAATTGAGGAAATTACAATGACATTGATAATATGCACCTCAAAGTTTCAGTTTCATAACTTTTGTTTAATTTAAATTATATTATCTGTAATCAATAATTTAAATAATCACAACATAAAAAAAAACTCAAAATAAGAGAAAATAGGGAAACATGAACCTTCCAAAACCAGATTAGAATCAAAATTTGTACTCTGTTCCTTACCTTTATTTTAATCTTCACGAACAGAGTTTAGGAATGGATATGCCATTACATCCATCATTTGTTTGGTTGCCAGTCATGGATAAGTCTTGTTCCAGAGCTTTGTTAAGTTACTGTGAAACTGTTAGAGCATGATTTAACCACATTTCATACATAAGTGACTACATGTTGTTAAATTTTTGTTTGAAAGTTCATCTTACCAACTACAAAGCAAAATAGATTTCAAGAATTTGTTTTTTTATTAAGTATTGATAGCATGAATGATTATAGTTGGTGATGAACATTCAATAGACCACTTTTCGAGCTTGTTGCATTTCCGTCAAAAAACTTTGGTTTTAGTGAACATCGTTCATGCATTTAGGGGAATCGTCACTTCCTTCCCATGTTGAGCGAGTGGTTGAAATAATATGATGCTAAATTGCATGAATTATTTGGCAAATTAAATTCTAATAATGGATAATCAGCACTGCTGTCATTAGGGAATTGTGATTAAGTACCTACAGAACAAACATTATTTCTAGTTTATCCTGCATAATGACGATCACGAAGATGATTGATGAACTTTAATAGTACAGGGATACAGGCGGTCCCCACTATCATGTAAATGACGTCATAAAGGCGCGCATTATTGACGAACTTTTCCAGTGACGGACATAACTTGAAAGTGGTCTAATTTTGCAGCTGTTTCTTGTATCATGTTTTATACATTATTTCCATCAGTTCTGTTATATGAATGATTATAACATTATAATGATGTCACACTATTATTCAGCTTTGTTATTCATTACAATGTTGAGGAAAGGACAGTAGGAAATGGACCAAAGGTTGTTTTCCATAATGAGAAACAAGGACACAAATACTTAGCTGTGGTAAGTTTAGAACCTGTTTAAGAGAAGGTGTCTGCAATATTTTGTACAGCCAAACATTCTTATCTGTTCTCCCAATTCTCTTGTATGTATTTACTCCTTTTCTGATTGCAAGTCTAAGTGAAGTGGAGCTTTTTAAAGAACCACCTTCTGTTATAACCAAAATGGTTCTAACAGGTTTCATTTAAATGATGTTGTCGAATGGTTTTTTTAACATATATTAGTATTACTCTAGATAAAAGATGCTTGCTAGAATGTTATACTGTAAATATGAAATTTGATGTAAATTAATCAATAAGATTGTTGATCAATAGACAAAAATGTGATATCTGAAAGTGTTGTTCAGTAATTGTTTACAAAATTTGAATTTGTGAGTTTTATATAATGCAATACTAACCTAGTCTCATTTTTATACGATTGCACAATTTTATTTTTAAATGGTATGACGTTGTTGTCGTTTTCCTGAGACATTTGGTTTCCAGAAAATAACTTGAGTACAAGATTAAAGTATATGGATTTCTATGAAATTGCACCACAAGGTTCTGTACCAAAAAAGAAAGGTTGGGATTGATTTTGGGGTTATTGTCCTAACTGTTGAGGAATTAGGGTCCAAAAACAAGCATTTTATCTTGTTTCAGGACAATAACTTGTGTTTAAGTATATGGCTTTGTATGAAATTGTACCACAAGGTTCCATACCTCAAAAGGAAGGTTGGAATTGATTTTGGGGGTTATAGCTCTAACTGTTTAGAAAAGGGGGCCAAAAACTATACGTTTCTTATTCTTTGTATAAATGGCTTACCTGTTTACCAATTTTAATGGGGTTCTTTAATATGCTGAATCTAAGCGTGTATTTAGATTTTGGATTTTGGGCTCCGTTTTTGAATTGGTCCACATTGAGGTCCAAGGGTCTAAAATTAACATTGTTTGATTTCATTTAAAATTGAATTTTTGGTGTTCTTTGATATGCTCAATCTAACCATGTATTTACATTTTTATACGTCCCTTTACAGGACGTATTATGGTATACTGTTGTCCGTCTGTCCGTCCGTCGTCAACATGTCAGACATTTACTCAAAAAACGCTTTGACCAATTTGCATAAAACTTAGGGGAATTGTTAATATCTATTGACGTGAGCTCCCTTTCGTTTTTTATAAATTTTAGATTTTACGTTTCCGAGTTATGGGGTTTTATTCATTAAAAAAAGGGGGATTTTCCAGTTTTCTGACAATAACTCAAGAATGCTTTCACCAACTTGCAAGAAATTGTGGTGAATTGTTTATATCTATTGACATGAGCTCCCTTTCGATTTTTATATATTTTAGATTTTATGTTTTCGAGTTACAGGGTTTTATTCATAAAAAAAGGGGGATTTTTCAGTTTTCGGACAAAAAATCAAAAATTCTTTCAGCAGTTCTTATGAAACTTTGGTGAATTGGTTATATCTATTGATGTAAGCTCCGTTTAGAATTTTATAAATTTTACATTTTTACATTTCTGAGTTATGGGGTTTTATTCATTAAAAAAAGGGGGATTTTCCAGTTTTCGGACAATAACTCAAAAATGCTGTCAGCAATTCTCATGAAACTTTGGTGAATTGTTTATATCTTTTGATATAATCTCCCTTTACATTTTCATAAATTTCTAATATGACATTGAGAATTAATTGATCTTTAATTGTTTATAGTCTGAAAACAGATTTACTAAGTATTGCGCAACAGCAAAGTGTATTGCACAACAGCAAGAAATCTTTAATTGAATATAAATTCAATTCATATAACCAATTTCAAGTTCTTTGACTACATTTATTCAGAAACCTATAATATGTCATAAAATATTTAATACAATCCAAATTCAGACCTGTATCAAGCTTGAATATTGTGTCCATTTTTGCCCCAACTGTTCAGGGTTGGACCTCTGCAGGCGTATCCAGCTGCGCTCAGCGAAGCAGTTTATTAATTTTGGACCTTGTTTTCAAATTGGTCCATATTAAGGTCCAAAGGGTCCAAAATTATTTAACTTTTTTATTTGATTTCAACAAAAATTGATCATATGGGTTTCTTTGATATTCTGATTCTAACCATGTATTTAGATTTTGGATATTGGACCATAATAGGTAAATGTTCAATTTCAAAATTTTAAAGTTCTTTAACCACATTCATTCTGTTTCAGAAACCTATGCTGTGTCAAAAATCACAATCCAAATTCTGAGCTGTTACAAGCTTTAATGTTGTGTCCATACTTGCCCCAACTGTTCAGGGTTGGACCTCTGCCATTGTATCAAACTGCACCCTGTGGAGCAGTTTTTTTCACTAAAAAAAAAACTCATTAAAATATCTGGATTTATAGAATATGGTTAAATTAGAGGAAAAGCCTTTCAACCATTTATATTGTTTTGACAACCACTTATTTGTTGTTCCATCTTTATTTTTCAGAAAAAGCCTGTAATACAGATAAAAGCTGCCTCAGCTCTAAACAGAATCATGGTGTTAATAGATAATACATTGTCATTACTTAATATGTTTGATTTAGAGGTTAGTATAATCTCTCAACAGAATCATGGTGTTGATAGATAATTCATTGTCATTACTTAATATGTTTGATTTAGAGGTTAGTATAATCTCTAAACAGAATCATGGTGTTAATAGATAATACATTGTCATTACTTAATATGTTTGATTTAGAGGTAAGTAAAACATGTTACAAATGGCTGTCAAGTCAGGTAGACTAGAACTTCATATGTAGCATTAAAACAAGCTTCTCTCCCTCTATTTGTTTGAAAGTTATAACATGCTCTATGAAAACTTCAAATTCAATTTTTTATACGACCGCAAAAAAATTGGGGGTCACAATTGCTAATTCTTTGTATATAGTCTTTGTATTGCGCAACAGCACAGTGTATTGCACAACAGCAAGAAATCTTCAATTGAATATAAATTCAAATCATATAACCAATTTTAAGTTCTTTGACTACATTTATTCTGTGTCAGAAATCTATTATGTGTCAAATATTTAATTACAATCCATATTCAGACCTGTATCAAGCTTGAATATTGTGTCCATTTTTGCCCCAACTGTTCAGGGTTGGACCTCTGCGGTCGTATCCAGCTGCGCTTGGCGAAGCAGTTTATTTCAATATGTAATGTCTATTTTTAGCTCACCTGGCCCAAAGGGCCAAGTGAGCTTTTCTCATCACTTGGCGTCCGTCGTCCAGCGTCGTCCGTCGTCGGCGTTAACTTTTTACATTTTGAACTTCTTCTAGAGAACCACTGAATGGAATGGAACCAAACATGGCATGAATGTTCCTTATGAGGTGCTGACCAAGTGTTGTTACTTTGTAGCCGATCCATCATCCAAGATGGCCGCCAGCGGGGGACTTAGTTTAACATAGGACCCTATGGGAAATACATACAAATGTCTTCTTTTAGAGAACCACTGAATGGAACAAAACCAAACATGGCATGAATGTTCCTTATGAGGTGCTGACCAAGTGTTGTTACTTTGCAGTCGGTCCATCATCCAAGATGGCTGACAGCAGGGGACTTAGTTTAACAAAGGACCTAAGGGAAATACATAAAAATGTCTTCTTTTAGAGAACCAATGAATGGAATGGAACCAAACATGGCATGAATGTTCCTTATGAGATGTTGACCAAGTGTTGTTACTTTGCAGCCGATCCATCATCCAAGATGGCCGACAGCGGGGGACTTAGTTTAACATAGGACCCTATGGGAAATACATACAATTGTCTTCTTTTAGAGAACCAATAAATGGAATGGAACCAAACATGGCATGAATGTTCCTTAGGAGTTGCTGACCAAGTGTTGTTACTTTGCAGTCGGTCCATCATCCAAGATGGCCGCTAGGGGGGGGGGGCTTAGTTTAACATAGGACCCTATTGGAAATACATACAAATGTCTTCTTTTAGAGTACCACTGAATGGAATGAAACGAAACATGGCATGAATGTTCCTTATGAAGTGCTGACCAAGTGTTGCTACTTTGTTGCCGATTTACTGTTCAAGATGACCACCAGGATATTTTATTAAATAACGGGACCAATATTAATCAAAATTTGGCCTCAATCATTATTTGGGTATCTGTTATGATTTTTATCTATCTTTACATGATTTCTAAAACCAAAGTAGAGTCAGGTGAGCGACACAGGCTCTTGAGAGCCTCTAGTTATATTTGCCAACACTTTTCTACTATAATTCACCCTATGCATTGTGATTTGCTTATACTACAAAAATCAGGAAATTCTGGTAAGAGTAACACCATCACTGTACGGGAATGTGCATGCTATAATTATATCACTAAAATATTGGTGTGCTGGATACCAGCTCCTTGTACATTTGCAATACATGTCATTAACTTCAAAAAGTAGGAAATTCATATACATATATTGTAGTGTTAAGGTCATAAAATAATTTTGAAGTAAAGTTGATAGTTTTATATAGGTGTAGAGTATATTGTGTATAAATAAAACTCCTAGTGCCCAATCTAATTAAGGTTTGGGAAATATTTTCATTGTAACCAAAATGTCAAATATTTTTGGACACTCATCTTAATTGAACCTGTTACAAAAGAAAGTATTATGAAAATAGATTTGCTACATTCTGTGAATTTTTAATTGATTTTTTTTTTTTATTTTAGCCAATTATGACTGGTGCCAAAGTAAAGGGAGTTACCTACTTTTGTATAAATGAAAATCCTACAAATGGAAATCCATTTAGTATAGAGGTAGGTGTTTAGTGTAGAAATATCGATATTATCTGAAGATATTTAGGAGTAGGAATAGTTCTGCAGGATTTGTCCAAAAAGTAGATGTTAAATTTTGTTTTTTTTCACAACTTCAAACAGCCACAATGAAATATTATTAGAATTGAGAATGGAAACGGGGATCTGTCAAAGAGACAACAACCCCACCAAAGAGCAGAAAACAGCCCAAAGCCACCAATGGGCCTTCAACGCAGCAAAAAATCTGCACCTGGAGGCGGGCTTCAGCTGGCCCCTAAACAATAATGTATACTATTTCAGCGAAATGGAAGCCACACTAAACTCCGAAACATATAAATGAATCAAAATTAAAAAACACACAAGTATAACAAAGACTAAAGGTTCCCGACTTGGGACAGGTGCAAAATTGCAGCGGTGTTAAACATGTTTTGTGAGTTCTTAACCCTCCCCCTTAACCTCTAGCCAATTGAAATAAACAAACACAGCAATACGCACAGTAAAACTCAGTTGAAAAGAAGTAAGAGTCCCATGTTAAAATAGGTAACAGAAGAAACTAAGCAAAATTCCTACCTGTAATTTATTGTTAGCCACTGTTTATTATACAGTTACAATATTGTTTTCACATTTAAAATAGGACTAAATGTAAATACGAATTTATAACAAAGTTAAATTCTATGAAGGTGAGTAAAAAAGAAGTTTTGGTTTTGTCTGTCATAGGGTTGCTGTCTCTTTGGATTACACCCCAAATCTTTTTAATCATACCACCAAATCAGATAATATTTGCAATAATTTGACCCTAGAACTGTGCCTACATCAAAATTTACCTTAGAAGTGTTGTCACATCATTTTATGATCTGGTAATTCAGCAATAATGATTCCTTGATGAACTGACCCTAGCTACAAAGTTATGTGAATTTTTCTTGTATAATTAAATAAAATATTATTAATAAATAGTGGTTATTCTCAGAGTAACAAAATTCCACCTAGGTTTTGTAAATGGTGGATGGTTTTTACTCATTTGACCAATTTGTAAGTCAGATATAAAATCCTGTCTCAATGGGTGAACTTTTTTTGATGCAAACAACTTAACAAACAGGATTGAAATGTCTCTTTATTTAATAATTGAACAGGAACATCATAAACTATGAAATAAGTACTGAAGGCTTTTAGTTATATTATTTTACATGTGTTATCAAAAGTTGTTGCTAAGGCTTTACCATTAACCGCAGTTGCTTCATAAAAAAACAAACTTTGTATTCTGATGTAAATTAATGTATAATATTCCATCTATGTTACATATATCATTGTTTTTCTAGATATGTGTAGCATTAAAGAAGAAACAGATACAAGTGTATACTGTTACAGAAGATAAATTGATGCATGTTAAAGATGTCCATATATCAGAACCTGCTATTTCTGTGGTAGGATTATATAAACAAGTTATTATGATAGTCAATAATCATAAAAAAAACAACAAAAAAACCCAAACAAATCAAGCAAATCACTGAAATAAGGTCATACAAAATTAACTTATTAGACTGTTAATGTATGAATAGCTTGGAATATTAAAGTACAAATTGAAAAAAATAAATAGAATATAAATGTATGAGCAATAGGCTCCTGGGCAAAATCACCATATTCATAAGCGATAGATACCAAATGTTTGTTTTTATCTAATGTAAATCTGACAAATTTTATACTCTTGAATAAAGAAATGTATTAACAAATTAATTGCGTCATATTATTTAGACACTTTGGATACAAAATTAGGACTGAAAACTGTTCAGAAGAATTTCCTAATGTGCAAGTGAAAATTCATTTTAGATTTTTTTCTTTTTTATAAAATGATTATTAAAATTGAAAAAAAACTTGGATAATTATTATATAACTCTCTTTCTACTTATCTCCTATTCACAATCTTCTGTATGCTTTTGTGCAAATACAAGAACCTGTTGAAGATCAGACAACTTGATTATTTTATTGTAGGGTGTGGATGGAAGCTTTGTTTGTGCAGCATTATTGTCACAGTATTGTATGATTAACTATGAGACATCCCATACACAAGATCTTTTCCCATTTGATTCAGAGCACAGTAAACCTCTCATTAAAAGAATAAGTAAGGTATGTTTATCATAAATTCTAATACAATTTATTTATAACATTTTTTTATTGGCTAAAATTTACCCTCAAATCCACAGTTGACATGTGGTAAATAAGGGGTGAACCTCCATATTAAATATCTTGGATCGACAAATAATGGATAACGACAATATAATAGAAAATAAACAACACCCACTTAAAAATCACTGTTTTTGATGGAATTTTTTCCAAATTTGAATAGTACAAGTAAGGTAATAACCTTCAGTTTGAAATTTTCACGTTTAGCTATGATGTTTATATGCCATAATCATTCATGAAGTTTCTAGGACTTATTTCAAGCTCTAATGTATGATTTCTTCTTGTTATGCATAAGAATTAGATTAACAGTACTGTAGTTGAAGAGTTGCTGCCATCAATAGTGATTTGTACTATTATATTCCTTAGTTACACACATTTTCCTGTTCAAATTAAAATACTAATATTTATAGTAAACATCTTATCAAAAGGATTTGAAAATTTTTAATTATCACTAAATATGTGATAAAAGATACTCAAGACATATTTTTATTTGGTTTAGAGCGTAATATACTTCAAGTTCTAATGTTGTAGTCTAAATGACATGAAAACCTTTTGATCTAGTAAAGTTTGTTATGTAAACTCCTTTCACCTTAAAGCTGAAATACTCCAGTAGAATTATTTATAAAATCAGTCTTTTGCTTAATCGACAGATCACAATAATATTCATATTCAATTTATATCTCTGTTTTCATAATAATTAAATTGACTAGTCATTTGACAAAGAACTACAATGACATATACATCAATGTTTGTTAATGAGAATCTATGGATTGTTGTCAAAACCAGAATAATTTACATATAAAGAAAAATAAAATAAAAGTATATCACATTAAACAGATATTTGCATAAATATGGCAGATTTTACAATTAAAAGGAAGTATTGTGTTTTTGTATCCACCAAAAAAGGAATTGCTGAAACTGTGAAACAGAGTGTGAAATGAAGTAATGCATTATGTTATTTAATAAAAGGTGTCTTTCTGAGTAAATAAAAATAAAAATCACCCTGTGTTTATGTTTTTTGTTAGAATTAGTGGGTTTTCAATTTCAAAATATTGGACATTGAATAGACATTGTGACCTACTTGACTGACATCTAGCTTATTTGGAGTGGAATTTTAAAGTATTATTCATAAGTGGAGCCTAATAACATGGACTTATATTTTAATAAAAAGTTTTCTTTTGTGTTTTAATTATAATTTTAAAGGCACATTTTTATTGGTAAAGGCTAAAAAAGGTAATTTAATAATATTATTGCGAACGTCACATCTTTTTCGTCCATTGTGGTATGTTACAATCGCAATTTTCTTGTTGGTTCTCAGACGGCCCATTGTTATTTTTAACTCGGGTTTTATAAATAATTGATATAAATAGCAATCACATTGAATTTTGATGACGAAAGGGGGTCAAAGGACTTTCGGAATCAATTTCATTGGCTGTTTTAGTTTTTGCGAACGTTACTGCTCTACGTTTCCGTCCAAATCAATGTCACGTGAGCAATATATATTTAGATCTGTAACTCTCCTGTATAGGAGTTATGATATCGCCCTTTGCAGAAATGGATGCGGAGCCGGTTTCCTCACATAATGGGAAAGCAAAGAAGGTAAGTTGTCTGTTATATCGTAACACGAGGTCCTTTATTGTATTCCGTCCATCAAAAAGACATTCACAACAAAACGTTGAATCAAGTAATGTCATTTAAATGTCACATTAAGAAACTTTTGTTGTGGTTTTTCATCTCCCAACGAGATTTGACCATATTTTACGTACAGTTGAGTCTTCTAGTTCATCAAAATACATTTCTTTAAATAATTTGATGCGAACGGTACAAGATGGACAGATTTTTATGTAGCGATCGTCACTTTGGGACAGTAATTGTTGATGTGTTGTTATATAAGAAAATTAAAACCGCCTAATATAGTAATGAGGGGGGTAGGTCCTTTATCAGGATTCCGGGATCGGGTGTTTTTAAGCTCGGGATTTCATGATTGATCCTTTCGAGATCCGGGAATTCTTTTTTCGAATTTCGGGATGTCGGGATTAAAGTTTTTTTAAATTCGGGACCTCGGGATTTCATGTTTTTAAGCCCGGGATTTCGGGATCAGGACTTCTCCTACCCCCCCTCAGTAAATTATGAAGGGGCGCTCATTACTATATATATTTGCAGGTAATATTCTTTTTCCTTTTCGAAGAGCTTCATACCACATCTTCTATTTTTATAATAACAACTTAGTTCATTAATTGCCAAAATAAGTCCAGTTCTTAAAATTGTCAAAATTGGCATAAAAGTCATTGCTCACAGACAAAATTACCAAATGGTAAACATACATTTGATTTTCAGGCTTATCTTAGCATAATCTCGGGTAATCATTAAAAGAAGATGGTAACTTGAACTGTTCTAGCTACAATTAATGATGACAACATATCTTTAATTACCATATACATGTATACTGAAAGCATTCGGCAAAAAATTATGTCTTGATTGAAGTAAATTTGAAGGCAGTACTTCAATACATTTTAAAAATTTTAATAGTCGTTCATTTTTTAAATTGTATTCATATACCAGTAATATTTTCAATTTATTTTCTTTCAGATGAAGTCCTCCAGAACTAACAGAGACGATAAATTTTCAAACATTAAAATATTTTTTAGCTTCTAGGCAGTATTTTAGACTTTTGAATGCAAATGCATCATGAATTAAATGGGCAAAGCAAGGTGTTCTGAAGACTACAAAAGACTTTCTTTACCACAATCCATGGTGAAAGTCATTGAGGCATTGATCACTATGGTATTTCCATCTTCACTGCGAATTGATTTGAAATTGTTCATTCTTCTGTTGTTTGATTTTAACTTGCCAGACATTACATGGGCATTTTGGCTTGTGCTTCATAAATAATCCATATCCCCCTTTCTGTTTTGAGTGCCAAAGGTTGCAGGTTCAATCCCCAGCCAGATAAAATAAGACATTAAAATGGTCTTTGCTGCTTCTCATCCAAGCCGACAGCATCTAGGAGCAAAAGCAAAGGTCAGCTTACAGAGGCAACAGAGTCTGTATAATGTGTCTTTGTGGAAAATCCTGCTAAGTGTGTCGGTCTAGTACAAAGCAGAGATCATATTACATCAACTTGTTCTCGTCCTGATGTGCACATACTAGTTTGACACTGGACCTTAAACAATAATTAATCCATCCATCCATAAAATCTGGTGTGTCAGTCTGGTACAAAGAACAGTTCTTATTGCATTTGGTACTCATATCATATCAACATCTCAGTTCACGACTAAAGATATGAACAGATCTAGAAGAATCATTCAGTTACATCTTAAAACTTTTTCGATAAAGATATCATGAATCTTATTTTTCACCTCCTGTAACAATTTTGGCCCCATTTAGTGCGACCCATCTAGATAGCAAATTTTCTTAATGTATTACTGAAGAAGATGTTGCTAATGTTACTATTACAAATTGGTTTCTTGTGTATTCATTTGATACAAAGTACACCTGCCAATGACATTCTGTATATTTAGATATTCTAAACCAGACTGTACAATTTAATTACTCAAAGCATTTATAAAGCACGACTGTGTGCATACATTTTATTTTTTAAAGATGCTGTTGCTAATGTGACATGTCCAAATGTCGCTAACGTTACTCATTTTTGTCTCCGTCACATTAGCAACAGCCTTAATTCAAAACATGTTTTCTTTCAAGAATTTGGCACAAATTAAACTAGTAAAAAGTAAATATTGGCAACACATGCAACTTTATACTTATTCAATTCTTTTTACTGTGTATTAGATGTCATTTACTTTGAAAAACATAAACTTTTTGTCCCATTTTCCATATGTCACATGTCCATCATCTTAAACATATTTTTTTTCCACTAATATATTAGAAATAGTAATGTGTAAGATGCTGAATATCTTCCTAAATCCTTTACCTTTTAGAATTTATTTTGGTTTTATTGCTGGTTAAAGGCTTTAAACCAAAATTAATGAAAATTAGGTCCAGGGTGCAAAAGGAGAAAATGTGGGTATCCCTGTTTCCTTGGCAAACATTCAATAATCTCTTACATTATTTACTCCTTTTTTGAAGAATTATGATCTACTGATAATAAATTTTCAGAAAATATAATTTTTTTTCGTGTTTTGCCTTCTTTAATTATTTATCATGGAAGTAGGAGGCAGAACACAATACTGTAAAATCTGCCATATGCTTTAAAAATGCTGTGTTATACCATCATAACAATGATCAAAACCTTCCTTATTTACCATGCCCCAGCAATGTTCATACTTTAATTTCCTTGAATGTTCTCTGAATTATGTGTTTTTTAGTTTGTAGTTCTCTTATTTACCATGCCCCAGCAATGTTCATACTTTAACTTCCTTGAATGTTCTCTACACTATGTGTATTTTAGTTTGTAGTTCTCCTTGAATGTTCTCTACACTATGTGTATTTTAGTTTGTAGTTCTCCTTGAATGTTCTCTACACTATGTGTATTTTAGTTTGTAGTTCTCCTTGAATGTTCTCTACACTATGTGTATTTTAGTTTGTAGTTCTCCTTGAATGTTCTCTACACTATGTGTATTTTAGTTTGTAGTTCTCCTTGAATGTTCTCTACACTATGTGTATTTTAGTTTGTAGTTCTCCTTGAATGTTCTCTACACTATGTGTATTTTAGTTTGTAGTTCTCCTTGAATGTTCTCTACACTATGTGTATTTTAGTTTGTAGTTCTCTTATTTATTTGTTATCGATTCTCTGTCAGTCAATCAGGTTATGTTATTTACATCTAAATTATGATATACAGTGATTTTTTTCGCATGTATTTTCCCAATCAGCAAAAATAATACACAGTGAAAAGTTAACCAGCCCCTTTTGTCATCAAATCTTGAAAAAAGGATATATGGTCAACCTCTTTTAAAAAGTAATCAGTGACATCAATGAAAAAGAACAGAGAAAATGGTCGGCATATGGATTTATAAGTTAAACAATCAAAAATTTAAAACTTCAAAAAAAGATAATGTAAATTACACCTGTATTTTTTTCTCTGTAGGAAGAATTTCTGTTAAGTGGACCTAGTGCTTTGGGAATGTTTGTGACATCTGATGGTATATCACAACGACCTCCATTACAATGGTCAGAGAATATTGTCAGTATGACCTATGTCCATCCATACATTGTTGCCATGAATGATGAGTTCATTACAGTTCATAGGTAATATTTCAGTCATTGTCAGACTTTGTAGAACTAATTTTATCTCAAGTTTATAAAAAATATTTTAAATACCTCCTGTATGTCATAGTAGTTACATTGTAAGAGTTTTGACCAGAGCACAGCATAAGGGTTTGTACAAAAAAGGAAAGTAATGATCTGAATTTTTTTAACCTTGAAATTGTGGGGCAAAAAACCTGTTCAATATAATAATGTATTCAAATTTGTTCTTATTTATTTGCACTAGGATTCAAACCTATTGCATTTAAAGATATGCAGTCTGACCACTAAACTTGCCTCATTTTGACACTCTCTCATTATTTTTTTGTTAGCAACAGCCATACTAAAACAATATTTTGCTTTAACAGGCATCAGTATAAATTTATGAACATGAAAGGTTCTTGTTCATATTTTATTTTGCCGTTTTATTGTGCTACTGTGAAATTGTAATTGATTTTTGCTCTTATTTTTACAGATTATTTTATCACTTTTATTTTAGTTTATCATACTGAAGGATGTTAACAATTTTCATGACTTTTAAACAACATTTATTTTCTTAAGAGGCTTTTGTGATATTTTTATAAAATGATTGTTAAGTTATTCTGCTTTTAACAGAAATGATTTTTATGCCCCACCTATGATAGTAGTAGGGTTATTATGTTTTCTGGTCTGTTCGTCCGTTCGTTCGTCCGTTCGTCCGTCTGTCCCGCTTCAGGTTAAAGTTTTTGGTCAAGGTAGTTTTTGATGAAGTTGAAGTCCAATCAACTTGAAACTTAGTACTCATGTTCCCTATTATATGATCTTTCTAATTTTAATGCCAAATAAGAGTTTTGACCCCAATTTCACGGTCCACTGAACATAGAAAATGATAGTGTGAGTGGGCATCCATGTACTATGGACACATTCTTGTTTTCATCAGAATTTCACAGTGTTCTATGACAGTGCTATTTGTGTGTGAGGAAACTTGCCTAAAGTTTTACCTATAGTTTTCTTATAGAAAATTAGAACGAACTTGTTAAATCCATTATCTGAACAAAATAACTTCAAGCCATCTATTACCTTCTCATTGCAGTATATTAGATCAACAACAAAAACAGGCTATTCCATTTCAAGGTGGTACATATTTAGGGAACTTTGATGGAAAGTTATTTGTAGCTTCAGGTAGAGAAATATATGCTTTAGTTCCTGTAGCATGGGAAAAACAGGTCAGTATTTCCAAAAAAAAACTGTAATTTTTCATTATTGTGAAACACTTCTAAGAGTTACTTAAAAAAATAAAAAATTACCCATTTTGTTATTTTTCTCTGTTTACTCATGCAGAGTTCTAGAATAAAAAAAAATAAAAATTATAGTTATATATTATTTGCAATTTCTTATGTTTCTTAATATACTATTTTAAGCAAGATTTCATACATTTATTATCTTATAGGATGAACAAAATATTAATTGTTTAATTGCAGGTTCAAGCAATATTGGGTGACAAGAGTCACAGAGGCATTAGAATTAGCTAAAAATGTTAATGTTTAATTACAGGTTCAAGCATTATTGGGTGACAAGAGAGTCACAGAGGCTTTAGAATTAGCTAAAAATGCAAATAAGGCAGGACTTACTAGGGACAAATTCTTAAAGGTAAAGTTGAAACTCAAAACTATAAAGAAAGCAAAGACACTGGTTTTACTTTTTCGACAAAGGTTAAAGTTTGTTATTAGGTCAATATACTTTGCTCCAAAGAAGGGGGTATGCTTATTAATGTCTGTCAGTCTGTTCTTCTTTCCATCCTCCCATGTTTCTGTCAGTCCAGTAAAACTTTATTCACTTTTTTTACAGTAACTACAAATCGGAGCTTCCTTAAATTAAGTAGCAAGCTTCATGTGAATATGCTTTAAGATGTTTTAACATTCATTGCTTATCAAATTCCTATTTACAGAATACTAATAGATTCTTTCATATAAATACCATGTATGAAATTTTCATCACATTTTTCTCCGGAACTAAAAAGCAAAGCTTCCTAAAATAAGTTATCAGGCTTTATGTGAATATGCTATACCATGTGATAAATTTTCACATTCATAGCTCATCAACTTGTATATTCTTAAACATAATGAATGTGGAGGCAGTTTTCGTCACAATATACATAGTAGCTACAATTCAGAGCACCCTGAAATTTGGTATAAACATTCATGTGAGCATGTTTTAGTGTGTGAATCAGTTTCACATCCATGGCTCTGCAACCTCCTGTTTATTAAAAAGTTATAGAAGGGATATCATTGGTGCTATATAGTTCATAGTTCAACATGTTTTTTTATTGTTCTTGAATTGACTTCAAATAAAGATATATAAATTAGGATGCACGTCTGAAAAAGGGGTTTTGGTACAATATTTATGGAACCGGCAATACTAAATTTACATGAGTTAATATCTTATACAATGGATAATATCGTTTATCATGCCAGATCTTGTCAACACAGAATCTGTAAGAAAACCATAATCCTCTTGTGATTTTTTGAGGTCTTTAATGATTGGAGTACGCTGATACTAAAAACATTTAAAGTTCGAAAGGGAATATTTTTTGGAAGATATAAAATATCTGAATTTATTGTATAGCAGTATAGATTTTGTGTTGTACATTACATCATCAATTTTTTCATGAATATAGAATACCATAACATTATTGAAAAGTAAACAAGCATTTTTATAAAACTTTGCCGTGAAGTTGAACACTTTACTTTGCACAATAATCATGTTATTGTGCAACAACTGTTTATTGTGATATTGATCAAATATTGGAAGTACTTATATCATTTTGTTTTAGATATTTAAGAGATTTCAGCAACAGGCAGCTTTTATAGAATTTTCTGAAGGTCATTTAGAGGAGGCTATGGATCTGTTTAAAAATAGTCAGGTTGATGTTAGAGAGGTAATGAGAATTATTATATCAAAGATCCTTTGCATTTATTCTATGATATTTTAAAAATAGTTCTTGGAAGCTAGTCGTCAATGGGATATTTCATTGAAATTGGTACGATTTTCATGATAATTGAAACTAACAAAACAAGACTTAACTGTTTTTAACTAATAAATAGATAACTAATTTTCCTTGGACTGAATATTAAATCTATTTCATACATAAAAAAAAGTACCTGAATTCATACAACATTGCTTGATATTATTTATTTCAAAAATAACATAATAATAAGTAAAAGAATTTCAGGCTTTTTATTTTGTATTTTCTAGCATTAGGCACCTCTTTGTGGTATTTTCTATATGTAGATACTTACTGAACCAAAACCATTGTTTGTTTTGTTCACAAAGGCATAACAAATAAAGAAATTCTCAAAATTCAAAATGGTTAATGAAACTTTACTTGAAAATTCCAAATCTATCATTTGAAGTACTGGAAAGAAAAGTATATGAATACTTGAACATTTGAATCATTGTTAAACATTATAGTAATATGATGTTTTTAAAATTCTTTTCATTTTAGGTTATAAGTTTATATCCTCGTCTTTTACTATCAAACTGTAATTTTACCCGGTCAGTGCCACCCCTTCATGAGATGGCTGATGTTAACCAGTTATCAAGAGGGAAAGAAGATCTGTTAAAGGAATACAAACAGTTTCTATGTACATACTTAGCTGATATTAAAGGCACAGGAACGGGATATAAACAGGTTAATATTTCAGATAAGTCTTAAACTTTTAACATAAAGCCCCCTCCCCCCAAAAAAAGAAAAAGAATAAGAAAAGAAATAAATGGCAATCAAACAGAGAAACAAATAGAGAAACTAAAATTTACAAAAAAAAAGTATTTCTAGGAAGGCAATTAGATTTTTTTATTGTCATAAAAATAAACAAATAAACTGGTAATTATGTCCTGATGTATGATAGCTGATCCAAGGTATAATTGACTAAGTTGTAATGAAAATAGGTGTGCGTTTAGTACAGAAAGTTGGATAAGTCCTCATATGACAGTTTTCTAAAAAATTAATAATGGCTCCACCCATCAGCCTCATATTTTTTGTTGAAATATTCTTTATATACCATATTCTTTACTTTTAAACCAAAATTTCAATTGGCAAGGGGTGACACCACATATAAAATCAAGAAAAAGGTAGAAAAAGGTGACAAATTTCTAAAATGAAATCTACTCCCATTTCAGGTTAATATATTTACAATATATGAAGTAGATATACAAGTTTTCTTATTGTACTTTTAAAAGTATTACATTTAGCAAAGCATGCACATTAAATTTACTCAAACAGTTGAAGTTTAAAAAAAAAACCTTTATGAGGCTGTATATTGCAGTTACTGGCTCTACTCCTTTATTAGAACAGCTGGATAATTAGAGAATATCATATCAGCAGTCAAATCATACCACATGATTTGTCATATTATCATTTATTATACTGGTTGATATTTTAATTTCAGGAAATAGATACAGCATTGTTAAAACTATATGCTGAAATAGACTCTCCCGAATTGATTCCACTTATAGCTGTAGATACTGGTTGTGATTTAAAAGACTCTGTTGAGTGGTTAGATAAATACAGACGATATAATGCTCTAGGATTGTTATATAAAGTACATGGTGAACATGATAAAGCTCTGGCTCTCTGGGTCAAGTAAGTACAAAGTTAGATAAATACAGACGATATAATGCTCTAGGATTGTTATATAAAGTACATGGTGAACACGATAAAGCTCTGGCTCTCTGGGTCAAGTAAGTATACTGTCAGCTAAGGTGATCTGAAATTATTGATTTAAAATGCTCAATATCCACTTAATGAATCCAGTTGTAGAAATATAGATTCTTATATTGGTACCAGTGGATTATCAGATTTATCCAATCGAGATAGTTAAATTATCGAATTTTAAAGTCAAGGCCTTGGCGAGGACTTTAAAATTGATGATTTAACTATTGAGATTGGATAGATCCAATAATCCATGAGTAACTATGTAAGAATCTGTTTCTCAAATAATTATCAAATAAAATTTTCATTTTTGATAAACAAAAATTCCCTTTGCGTGCCTTCCACATTCCACAAAGTTGTCAATTTCAATAGCACCTGTTAGCTCATTTTGATTCATCCAGTGAGCTGATAAAGGTTATGACCCTTAAACTCATCGAATAATCTTCTGAGATCATCGGCAACCACATGTTGATTAAATTTTTTTATACAATTGGTCAGGAAAGGGTTAAATTCCCAAAGAATTAGAGAAAGAGGAATAAGAGTTGGATGTTTGCGTTAATATGGACTTTTTTGGTAATTTCTGTCTAACTCAGGAGTCAATGTTGTTGAAAATAGTTATTGGAATTCTATATTTACAATCCACCAATGTGGGGTATATAGGAATCACCCTGTTGTTCAACCCTCTGTCTGTCCATGTGCTTTGTAAGCTCATCACCTCTGAACAGCTTTTCAGTGCAAAGTAGAAAATGATGTAATTGTGCATTTTCTACATTGTTTAATGATATGTAATTTCTTTTAGAATATATAATTGTGTAGTAGAAGATGATTCACATTGTTTAATGATATATACACTTTTGTAGAATATGTAATGGTGAAGTAGAAGATGAATCCCATTGATTAATGATATGTTAACTTTTGTAGAATATGTTATGGTAAAATAGAAGATGAATCCCATCATTGTTTAATGATATGTTATTTTTTGTAGAATATGTAATGGTGAAGTAGAAGATGAATCATTTGAAGGCATTAATTTTATTATAGAATACTTAGCTAAGTAAGTAAATTTTCTCTATATAACAAATTAAACCTCAAAGGGGTGCTGAACAATTTGAATACTTCAAGAATAAAATACTAAGCTAATTCCATATTTTGGATTTAAAATTTTTGCCTTGTTTCTACAATGTATATCAAATTAAACATAAAGGTTTATCACATGTGCACATTATAAACACAAATTATTAGAAGAATTCTTCATCTTCAAAGAAATAGTTATATGTATACACACACAATAAGCACAATTGATAACACTGTTTTTGCAAGTAACTGTATAATGCAATTATTATTATTTTTAAAATATGCCATTGAAGCCATGTACCTCAGTTTCAAATACAAAGCCATGAAATGGCAGTCAGTAAAAATAATTACACATTTTATTTTGCTGTAAATGACATACCACTGTGTTAACAGTCTAAGTCAATATAAAACAAATGTTAATATTTTATTTGACAGTTTAAATGACCATGAGTTAGTTTGGAAATATGTTGATTGGGTACTGTCTAAAGATCAAGAAAATGGAGTCAGAGTAAGTGTATAGTAAACAAATATAAAGCACAATTGTAACAGAAATTTGCATCTATTTACTAAAATTTTCAACCCAGTAAAACATAATGACAATATATTTTTAAGCAAACTTCCCAGTATAATATTGTAATAACAAACTATATTAGCCCTTAGGTAATTTTAGCAGAGGTTTATTGTAAAACATTTTGTACTTAAAACCATTGTATGATTTGTAGATATTTACAGACAGACCTACAACTGAGCCCCCTTCAGAGCGGATGAGACCAGATACTGTGATTGACTACCTCCACCGATTCCCTATAGCTGTGATAACCTACCTTGAATATTTAGTGTTTCAGAAAAAATTAGAGGTAGGTTTGTTCTTATTCTCATATGTTGGAAAGAGCTGTTGAAAAAAAATATGCAAACACTATTCTTACTCGTAAAAGCTAGGATTATTTAAGAGATATTGGGTCTTAAACAGTATCCAATTTATATCACACATTTTTTTTGGCACTGAAAAGTACATGAATGAGACCATCATGTATATAGATCGTCATATAAAGTGTCTAATGCACGCTTTGTATTGAAGTTTTATATTTTATGACATTCTTTGTCTGAAGGAGAAGTAGCACCTTTATTTATTTGTATTTTTTTTTAGAAAGAAAATACCACATCCATTTAGCTGTATTTTTTTCAGAAAGAAAAATACTACAGCTATTGTTAATTATTATTATACCCTCTACTGCTAGAGTTGTGTTTATATTGAAATCCCTTTGTCTGCCCCTCCAATAAATATTTTTGTCACACTTTTCTCAGGAACTACTGAACAGAATGACTTTATATGTGGTTAGTAGCTTGACAATAAGGAGATGTAATGTGTGTGAACTCTTCAGATTTTTCAGACACCTACTTCCTGTTTGTGGATACTATGGATTTTTTCAATATTTTGAATGAAAACAAATATTTTGTCACACTTTTCTCAGGAACTATTGATCAGAATGACTTCTTATTTGGTTAGATTACCAATTGAAACTGGTAGATGGATAGGTTTAGATAGAGAAAGGAGATATTGTAATTTATTTCAATGTCAAGAATTAGGTGACGAATTTCACTTTCTTCTGAATTGTAGATCCCTAGACGACTCAAGAAAACTGTTTTTGGATAATTGTTATTGTAACAGAGTAAATGTAATTAAATTTTGTAAATTATTACAAACAACACATAGAAATAAGCTTAAAAATATATGTAAATTTATAAAGGTTATAAATTCATTATCCGGTCTTCCTGGTTAGCCTTTGTCTATTTGTTTTTCTATTATAATAACTAAATAATCTTGTATAGTAATTGTAACATTCTTATCTTGTCCTGTGCACAATTTATTTTGTATACTATGTATTATTATTTCAGTCTTTGTACCAATGTGTATACAATGGTTTTAAAGAATAAAATTGTCTTGTGTTTTGTCAGCAGCTTGGCGTGATAAGTTGTGACGTGTGTGCGCTTTAGATCAGTCAGACTCCTACATCCTGTTTTCCGACTATTTGAATTAAGAGTGGGGATATGCTTAGCATTACAACATGTACATCCTTGTTTGTAAATTTTATTTCAGAATGAAAATACCAAATCCATTTTGCTGTATTTATTTCAGAAAGAAAAATATCCCATACATTTTGTTGTATTTTTTTCAGAAAGAAAAATACCACACCCATTTAGCTGTATTATATTTAGATGCTGTGCTACGACTCATCAAAACCAATAATGTAAAGAAAGAAGAAATGGATAAGGCTAGGTATGTAGTAAAAAGTTTCCATTTCAATAAAAAATCATTGTCTGTTGAAAATTATGTGTTCAGTAATTTAAATTTTATGATAGATGTTTCTTAAAAGAAAATGATTGTGGCATGACTCCCAATTAGTATTTTGGTATCAATGTAATGTTGATTTCTTGTTCAGTATTTGCCAAATTCATAAAGCTGTGAAAATAAGCTACAGTATGATTATTTTCTAACAAAAAATTAAACATAAAAATTGAATGAAGTAAATTCAAGTAGAAAAGTTGAATTGATTGTTGTGAGTTTATTTAGTCTTTGTTAAAAGTGTGCTTCAAATGAGCAATGTTCACATCTAGCAAAATTTTCTGCTAATACCATTGCTAGAGGCAGAACTTGCAGTGAGGTAGAAGCTGTGCTGAAAGCCTTACTTTTACTTTAAGACGAAGAGCAACAATAAAAGTGTTATTCCTTTTCTTTGGGTTTTCTTGTGTACAAATTGAAAAGAATGTACCCCTCTCTTATTTATAAGCTTGAATTATCAAGTTCAATGATATTATATGATAATCTTAACATGGAAAGGCTCAATTTCTTTATTTATGAAAGGAAACCACCACGTAATATAATTCCTTGACCTATTGAATTTACTTTTTACAATTTTTTTCTTGATACAATACCTATTGAACAGCTGTTTTTATCCAAACAAGCATTACATTAATTGTAGCACTTTTATTTTTTTGTATTAGATATATTTAAATAAGTTTGAAGTTGCGTTTTACAGGATTTATTATTCTCAGGTAATATAAATTCTTCATGTATATTTATTATATAAACTTCAATGCAAACTTACAAGTAGGGAGATTTTATCATAAAAAAGTAAATTTTTACATTTTTAGGAACTGTGTGTTATGACTTTGTATATTATAAACATTTGCATGTAATATTGACTGCTCATTTGAAATGTTTATGTTTTCAGATCGAAATTACGTTACATATTACAGATGTCTAATCTGTACCGAATACAACTGATACTGGGTAAAGCTAAAGAAACAGAAATGCATGCAGAATGTGCAATACTGTATGGAAAGGTAATTAACCATCATCAAATTCCAGTTGTTTATCCTCTCATCTAATGAAGTTGGGGAGGGCATATCGGATTTAGGGGGTCCTGGTACATTTGTACAAATTTGTAACAGAAGTGTAGTTTACTGAATAAAAGAAACGTTATAATGAAATATTATTGATAAATTGCCATAGGTTTCTGAGAAATGACCATAAACACAAAAATAAATCAAGGTGACTCATAAATTTGTTGATAAATGTTGAATTTAAAATGTAGAAGGAGATGCTATATGAAATATGCATGCCAATGAACCAACTATCTACCTAAAGACCAAAGGACAAGGATGTACACAATTACAGGTAATTGTAATGCCTTCATCATTAGCAAAACCAATGCTGTATAGTAAGCCATAAAAGTTTCTTGAAAACAGAAGGTGACACGATACATCAGAGAAAACTAAGGAATTACTTATGTTAATAACATTAAACAAAAACAATTATGACAGACAGCAAACAACAACTACTGGGATCCAGGGGCTCTTTTCACAAAAATTCTAAGAACTAAAATTTATTGTAAGTTATGATGAAATGTTCATGACTTTCAAGTATTTTTTTTTGTAAGATTTCTTGCGAAAACAGTCTCACGCTCTTGGCTTGTTGCCAGCACATAAGTAATGTTGCAGGGTTTTGCATGTTTATGAGCCCTCAACTCTCCCCTAACTTGGGACAAGTGTTGTAACAGCAGAACATTAGAACAGTTACTTAACATGAAAACAATTAATAAAACATACAAAAGACACCAATTATCGATCTAAGAGTACTTGCTGTTATTGAAAGTTAGTTCAAAGCCCAATATAAACTAATGAATAAACCATGTTTTACCCAGCCTATATTTGTGTAGTAATGAAATATTTATGTGCCATAGTTAATTTCTTAGAAATAACTGTCAGCCAAATGTTTTTCGTTTTATGGTGTTGTTGGGTGGCTGTCTTGATGATATATATCTAACATGTCTTTAATTATATTGGATATATAACTTTATCAGGCATAGGATAAGGGTAAATCTTTATGTCCCGGCCAGTCAGAAATGTTGCATTACCATAAAAGAAAAGGTTCAGTAATGCCCGAATATGACTGCTATTTCCAGCTAAAATTTCCAACTAGGATTTTGAAGCTATTTTCACATACATTGATGTATAGAATAGAATATGTACTTAGCACAAAACTACATTGTTGTCTACAATTGTTTAGATGTTTATTCTGTTCAGTTCATTACAACTATTTTGTCAAAATTTGGTTTTTAAACAAGACTATATGCTGACCTAAAAAGACATATCTTTTTTGGTGTTATTGAATTGTTGGATAAGTGTTTCATTAATGTGTATGTCATACATCTCCCCTTATTCATACTTAATGAAAATTATATTGTTTTGTTTTCATTTTCAGTTAGAAGAACATGACAAAGCCTTAAGAATACTTGTACATAAATTAAAAGACTTTGGTGCTGCTGAAAATTATTGTCTAGTCAACTCTCATGGCAAAGATTCTTCTTTTCGTAAACGATTATTTCACATACTACTTAGTGTATACTTAGATCCTTCCAATGAGTAAGTAGTTTATAGTTCAAGGAAGAAAATATTTACTGCATATTCTTCTATACAACTTATAGAATGGGCAGAATGATGAATGGGGAAAGACATCAATGACAGCAACCCAATAACTGAAGACATCCAAGTATATTGTTAATTGATATCAACATTACTGATATTAAAAAATTCAAAACTAATGTAAAAAAAAAAAAAGATGGGGTATGATTGCAAATGAGACAACGATCCACCTGAGACCAAATGAATTTAATGCAATGTAGTTTAGTTTTCCTGAAATGTTTCATCTCAATCTTAGCAATGGAATAGATAAGATAAGGTCACTTTGTTGGCCCCTTGATTTCAAAAATCAAAAAGTATCATAAATCTACCAAATAACAAACCTTCAGATGCTTTAATAATGTGGATCTGCTTACCCTTCCAGAGCATCTGAGATCAGTCTTTGGTTTGCTATGTTGTGTTTTGTGTACTGTTATTTGTCTTTTCCTTTTTTCTTTTTTAGCCATGGCGTTTATTTTTGACTTGTGAGTTTGAATGTCCCTGTGATATCTTTCACCTCTCTTTGATAATTGTAAAGTATTCAAATTTAAATTGCTTTGATCTTATATTGATAAATGTTGTTGCAATGCCAAAATAATACATTTCAATTTTTGAATGATTATGTTTCAGACAAAAAGATTCTTTAGTCAAACCAGCTGTAGACTTACTTAACAGTAATGTAGCTGAGTTTGATACTGTCAAAGTAAGTTTATAATTTATTAACAATTTTCATAAATTCCATGTGGAGTTTTAAAGCACTCAAATAAAATACATGAATGTAAGAAAAGTGTAGGTTTGGAATAAATTGATTTCTGATGTCATTTTGACACGCCTACAGAATTATGTTTCATGGTCTGTAGGTTTCTCCATCATTTTGTCTGTTTGTCTTTTCATCCTTTTATCATCAGTCCCATATCAGGTTAGTTTTTGGGTTATTGTAGCTTACCTTGAAGTTGTGAATACATGAACTTGAAACATACAACAGATGTTCATTATGATGTGAAGTTTTGAAATTATATGCAAAATTAAGTTTTTGACCTAATTTACTGTTTACTTGACATGGAAATGTGATGTTTGAATGCAGTCATTTTGTATCAATGGTTGTTATTGAATGATGACCCATGTAAAATTCTCAATATGCCTGTCTGGAACTAAGGGAAACAGACATATTGAATTCCAGAATGTATTGATATTCGATTTCTTTAATAATAATCATTTTTTCTCAAACTTTATTACAATTTGAAGTGTAAAAGAAGCCAAAAAATGCCTGTTCTTTTATTAGCATATAACTTTAGAAGCATTCCTATGACATAAAGTTTACTTGCTATCTTTGTACAAAATTTTCATTTTAATGGAAATGTTACACCTAAACAATGAATAAAATGGGCTGGTTTGTTTATTTTACATTAGAATAGAGATAACCATATTGTAATTGAAACTTGACCTATGTAAGAGTTCTATTTACTATTTGATAAAAATGAGATATGCATCACTAGGTAAACTCAACTTGCAACAGTTAAACCTACATTTTAATTGAGGCCAGCTTCATTTAATTTAAGCTTCAAATACATGACTGTTATATCTAAAGTGCAAAATCAGTACATTCTCAGGTTAAAATATCTTGTTCAGGTAGTTTACCATGAAGTTGTGGTGACTAGAACTTAAGGATGTTCGCTCCTCTTGTTTTTGAATGTTTGCCAGATATTCCGAATCCTCTGGTTTTATCCTCCTAGTGCCATTAAAAAAAAATGCCCACTAACCCCTACTTTTCTTTTCTTAATTTTATTACATATAGTTTAAAAGCCATATTTGAAAATCTTATAAAATTCTTGTTATTTTTTCATAGTTTTTGAAAGAAAAAAGGTGCCAATGTCAAATGTATGAAAAATCTAGAGAGAATCACTTCCCGCCAAATTTTCAATGGCTTATATCCCTAAAAACAAGCACACATACCCTTCATTTTTTTCTGTTTTTTTAGTTCCTTTACGTATATACTCTCAATTCATAACAGTCTTTTCAAATGCTTGTTATTTTGAAACAGAGTAGCGAACATCCTTAGTACACATTGTCATTATGATGTTAACTTTTTAGATTGTATGCCAAATTACGGTTCTGACCCTGATTTCATTGTTAACTGACAATATGCCAAATTACGGTTCTGACCCTGATTTCATGGTTAACTGACAATGTGCCAAATTACGGTTCTGACCCTGATTTCATGGTTAACTGACAACTGAAACGTGCTAGGGCTAGTAGGGCATGGTGTCCTATGGACAACGTTTTGGTTTAAATTTTGCATGAGTGATTTTTGTGCCAGAGAGAAACAAATACCCATAATGGAAATTATGTAATCTTTAAAGTGCAGGTTTGATTTAATAGAGATTTTGGAGAAAAGATTGTAAATTTATTTATGTATTTGTAGGTTTTACAATCCTTGCCAGAGAACTGGTCTGTTAGTTTAGTTTCTCAATTTTTAAATCGTGCAATACGGAAAAGTATGAACAATAGTCGGACTACTCGAATAGAAAGAATGATGTCAAGGGGAGAGAATTTACAAGTGAAACAAAATATAATAGAAATTCAGAAGGAGTTTGTTACTATGAATGATGACAGGTAGGTTAAAAATTATGTATATAGTTGGAGGATAAACAGCCTTGGTTGTTAGCGAGATTTAGTTGCTATGCACTTTATTTATGTATGTGCATGTATCTCACACTATTAGTAACATGTGAGCACTTTTCAGATCTGTCAGACACCAACTTTCTGTTTGCTGATACTTTAAATTTTTTATGCCCCAACTGTAGCGGAGGGGGCATTATGTTTTACCCATGTCCGTCTGTATATCCATACGTAGGTCCCAAAAACTGGTTTCCGTTCTCTAACTTTAGGTTGCCACAACCAAATGTTATGAAACTTATACACGATGCTTATGACCACAAATTACAGACCAAGTTTGAATTTTGTAGCGTCACTTTTTCCGTTCTAGAGTTATGCCCCTTTACAAATAGAAAAATTGCTGAATTTTTCATTTCTGTTCTCTAACTTTAGTTTGCCTCAACCAAATGTTATGAAACTTATACACAATGCTATTTACCACAAAACACAGATCAAGTTAAAATTTTGGTAGCGTCACTTTTACCATTCTAGAGTTATGCCCCTTTACAAATGGAACAATTGCTGAATTTTTTATTCAGCAATGCTGGATCTATGCGATCACTCTGGTTTTGGAGATGGTGCAGAATACTAAGTTGAAGACATATCATGAAACTTATTATGTGTTTTAATGACTTGCAGAAACTTTCTACATCATTTTAATCATCAACTGCCAACTTTTGACATGTTATTTGACCTTAAATTGAAAAAAGATTGGTTAAACAACCGGTTTATTTTAGATATACACTTGCATATAGTTCCTTTGTAAATCCAAATTTATAATGATTTACTATTTATGAATTAATTTGAAAAAGTATTTGTACATCAATTGAATCAGTTGATAAGAATTTTGAAAGTATTTTATTAGTATCTTATGGTTGTGTAAGTTATTGTTCAATGAAATTTGGGTCAAGTATGTATTAATATATCTAAGTTGATTCCAACACTTTTTTGAAATGGTATTAACTCCAATTCTTTCCATAGGCAATTTAAGAGTCAGTATGATTATCAACTGTCATGATTTTCAAATAATTACACTCAAAGGTGTAAATATTAATTGGAAACAACCCCAGTTTGAATTCACCACAGTTAATATCTCATGACCTGTTACATAATTAAATAGACAAAATTTATTACACACCTAACTGAATACACACATTCTTGACCTCAATAGTAAACCTACAAATGTATTATTTATTTTGATCTACACTACATTAAAATATTCTGTTAATTTTGCTAGCTAGCTAAATGATTAATCATATGTGTTTTTTTTTCAAAGAAAAGACAAAAAATGAAAAAAATATGTTTAAAAAATGCAAGCAAATTTTATTTCACTTGTAAAATCAGTGTCATTATCATCTGACATAAGTCAATAATCAAGTTCTAATTAATTAGTTACAATTATCAGAAATTTGGTTGAAACAATAAATAAAATTGCACAACTCTTACCTGAGCATTTTCTGCAATAAAATTTATTTGTTTGTTCTACATTTATATCCCATTATATTGATATTTAACAGTAAATGGAAATATCTCAGCATTAGGTAATTGTAGATTCAAGATTCAATATTTTATTATTGTACATTTAAATTTGAATACAGGAAATGTATTTTTTCTTAATAAAGAATGAACACCAATTCAGATAAAAAATAGTTATTATTTTTTTTTATTTTTGTTGTTGAGAAAGTGCATTTCCAAGGCCTCTTTCTGGAAATTTTAAGCCAATTATAATTAATGGCATATAAGCAAATATATTACTTGTTTGACGATTTCCCTTTCCATTCTTGTCAATACCATTAAATTGCAAATATTTATAAAAAAAAAAAAAATCTGACAAGAGTCTAAAATTGAAATATCAATATATATATCAATATTTGCATCAGTATTGCAAAATTCCCTACCTTTGGACATAGAAATTTTACGGTAAGATTGGAAATGAAAAGAGAAAAAAAAATTTGAAAACAGTAGAGTCTGAAAGAATATCAGACTAGCTATGAATATGGCTGGATCACAACATCAACAATGCTTTGATTTGTTTCCGTTCGCTAACTTTAGTTTGCCTCAACCAAATGTTATGAAACTTATGTGCAATGCTTATTACCACAAAACTCACGTCAAATACAAATTTGGGTAGCGTCACTTTTACCTTTCTTGAGTTATGTCCCTTTATAACATTATATGCAAGCGGGGGCATCATCTGTGTCTCATGGACACATTCCCCATTTATTTAATATGTAAAATGAACTTGAAATTTTTATGCCCCCGCCGTAGCAGAGTGGGGATTAAGTTTTACCCTTGCCCGTTTGTATGTCTGTCCATATGTACGTACATCCGAAAATCCGTTCTCTAACTTTAGTTTGCCTCAACCAAATGTTATGAAACTTATACACAATGCCTATTACCACAAAACACAGATCATGTGTGGATATTGGTGTCATCACTTTTACCGTTCTAGTGTTATGCCCCTTTACAAAGGAAAAAATTGCTGAATTTTTTGTTTCCGTTCTCTAACTTAATTTGCCTCAACCAAATGTTATGAAACTTATACACAATGCTTATTACCACAAAACACAAATCAAGTTTAAATTTTGGTGTCGTCACTTTTACTGTTCTAGATATATGCCCTTTACAAATGGACAAATTGCTGAATTTTTCGTTTCCTGCTCTCTAATTTGAGTTTGCCTCAACCAAATGTTATGAAACTTATCCACAATGCTTATTACCACAAAACACAGATCAAATTTGAATTTTGGTGGCGTCACTTCTACCGTTCTAGAGTTATGCCCCTTCACAAATGGAAAAATTGCTGAAATAATTGTTTCCGTTCTCTAACTTGAGTTTGCCTCAACCAAATGTTATGAAACTTATCCACAATGCTTATTACCACAAAACACAGTTCAAATTTGAATTTTGGTGGCGTCACTTTTACCGTTCTAGAGTTATGCCCCTTTACAAATTTTACAAATGGAAAAATTGCTTAAATATTCGTTTCTGTTCTCTAACTTGAGTTTTCCTCAACTAAATGTTATGAAACTTATAAACAATGCTTATTACCACAAAACTCAGATCAAGTACAAATTTGGGAAGCGTCACTTTTACAGTTCTTGAGTTATGTTCCTTTATAACATTATATGCAAGCGTGGGCATCATCTGTGTCCCATGGACACTGTCCCAATTTATTTCGTCATGCATTTGTCCAATACGACTGAACTGAATGGTGTATTTTTTTTTGTCACTCTTCCATCTGAAAACCAGAACAAGAAAATGAACAGATGGTAAAGCTTCTTAGATGATTGACTTACACAATTTCTATTAGCAGTAGGAGCTGTCTTACTTGGAATAGATGAAAATATACCTAATTTGAGAAACAGTATTTCATTAATGATTGACTATACATCAGTTCAAATAAGTTAATGCATGAAATGCAATCAAAACCCTTTTGCTACTGGCTTGCTAACTATATCTTCCAAGCCACATTTCTACTTGTGAAAGTTCAAACAAGATAGTGCATTGAGGTGAACATTCTTTAGATCATATTCATACCCATGTCCGCAATTGATTAATGATATACTCTCAGATATTCAAGTTACGAAACATTGATATGGATGTGTATAACCATACTTAGGCTGTACAGTGACCAGTTGTTGCTTAAATCCATGTCCATTAGATTCTAGTGGATAGTTCTCCTTATTTATATATTGTCAAGAAAAATGTTTTATTATTAATTTGATAAGTTGTGCATGGTGTATAAATTAAGTTCAACTACAATTATAGACAGAGGAAGATAAATCCAATTCAAATATTCACTAAATGTGTTCCATTACAATTCAATGTTTAATTTTGCAAAATGAAAGCAGTTTTTACCCTTCAGTGCTCATAAGCACCTTGATTAAACTGATAACCACCCAAGCGCCCATTAAAGATGATTTTGTGTACAGATAAATCTTCAAGTAGGTATGCCAGTCAGAACATGGATATAGACACAATCATTTCACTTAATTTATCACACAGATTTTATTGCCAAATAAAGAGTTTAAATAATGTCACCTCCACTAACATGATGAATATTATAGTGCTGCAAATGTGATACAAGTTTCCAGTGTTGTTCTGAGTAATCTCCCTTTGACCAACTAACATGATGAATATTATAGTGCTGCAAATGTGATACAGGTTACAATACACCATTAGATTTTATGGGCGCAGCCATTTTATGAGCATAACATGGTATTCAGAATTAAAAGTATAGCTAATCCTGATTGGTCGATATGTGTGCCCGTTATTTTTTATTATTAGAGACTTCCTGCACTCTGCATTATACCAAAGGTCAAATAAATTATTTTCTTTAGCCCTAACGGAACTGAGAAGTCTTTTCAACGCTAGGATGAGACACGTATTTTTAAGTGCAAAATTCATAGGCATGAGAGATAAGTACAAATTACGCCAAGAAAAGCAACGCGAACCTATATTTTTTGGACCAAAAAAAACTATCCTAATAACTTTTCTTTAATTCTGGCAAGGTTTCGCTGAAAAAATCAACTTTCTAAAGTCTGTATCTCGAAAAAGGCTATCATTGTCGCCTATGGGGAAATTAATTGTTTATTTCAATCTACAAGTTTCCAGTGTTGTTCTGAGTAATCTCCCTTTGACCAACTAACATGATGAATATTATAGTGTTGCAAATGTGAGACAAGTTTCCAATCTTGTTCTGAATAATCTCCCTTTGACCAGATCTTATTGTTCTATTTTAGTAACTCTTTTATTCAGGCCAAGGATGTCATGCTTTTCTCATTCAATCTAAGATACACTAAATTATTCATAGAGTTTTCATACCTTGTTAGTTTTATGTTCAATTAACCTGGATACCTAAATGTAGACACTCATTACTTGGTTATTTACCTGTAATGACAATTCACCTGAATCGGTGTTCAACATCAAAGTATCAAACCTGTTTTTTGTTCTCT